TTGAGAGGAGACTGTGGCTTTTGGCAGTACCAACGCGCGTCGGTACACACACGTATGAAGATTGTTTCCGGCGTCTAAGGACGTCACTCAGCAGCTGGATAGCACCATGTTAATAAATGGTGGCGGACCTAACAAACGCTCACTGAAAGTTATCGGCGTCCAGTCCACGCCGGCCAGCTGCCGGAACTCCTGGGAGTTTCGGCGCGCTGGCTGGCTTTCGACTAGCTGCTTCTCAGTCGAGTCGTGGCTTTGGAGAGTGCGGTCACAAGATGCAAAATGGAACAAAAAAATATTTTTGATTTCGAAGGCGTTTGTGAGGCTCGCTGTGTGGGATAAAGGGACAAAAGACACACGAAGAAATATGGAAAAGTACTGGAAAGAAATTTTTGCATGTTTATCTCTGCATAATCTCAAATATACTTTGAGTGAAACATTAATCAATCAAATCAATAGAAACTAAACAAAAATAGGTTTTCTCAGGAATTTAATAATTAATGTGAGTACACAATTAGATGATTATACATGAATTTAAGAAAAACATCTCCTATAATTGATGGTCGTTTTGTACGTACCCTTTAAACATTATGTGAATTCAATTGAACTGCGTTATTGGGTGGGCTATCAAATACTTATTTATCAATAATAGTGTTTTGTAAAACACACACATTCTTTATAACTCCCGTAAATGTACATCAGATGTTACCTGTTGGTTCATATTTTCTATTTTGAATACAATGCTCCAGTATGCAGCAGTAGCACTCTTATTCTCTGGCTACATATTTTGATTTACTGTTTTTCATAAAACCAGTGTATTTTTTTCTGACACTGGTAATAATTGCGATAAATGAGTGGTCCGCAGTCCGCAGTCGCCAACACGTGGAAGTGGATTACTAGGAAGATCATTAAAAAAGACATTTTAACAATGAAATTTAATGAATTATTTACCATTTGCATTGTATAATTCTAAAGAATCTGTATTGTACTTCAGCTTCTGGGTTAATGACCTCCATCTCGATGAGGTTTTCTTCCAGTTTCTCTGATCCTTGAGCAAATGCTGAGATGGCCCCTTGTTTTGCTTCTGGACATAAATGTAACTTCAATTTAACTTCTCCCCATAGCACGTCACACATAGTTTTTGACGTAAATAAATAAAATCCGCTAGATTTGGACACAATCGAATCGGCGTCCTTTGTGTCTGCCCTAGTTGGTCGAACAGCGGATGCAGGCACGGCGTGCCAAATGTTCTACGTGTTTGTACCCTTGGAGATCTCGGCTACTGACGTTGGCGAGGAAATCTAAAGTAGTTGAATGAAATACCCGCAGGACACGTAAAGGATTGGAATGACGGCGACAAATTATGTGGAAGGGTTGGGGGAATCGTCGGCTTGAATTGGTTGTATTTAATAAGTGTGCGGAGGTCGCCTGCGTAGCCAGCGCCGCTGTGAGTCGCTGTGCGGTCGCCCAGCCGGATGCTCTCCGGGCCCGGGCCCCGGCCCTGGCCCTGCCC